TTATCGGCTTTTCGATTGCCAATGTTTATCGATCGCTAGCCTATTAATCGGCTTTTCGATTGCCAATGCTTATCGACCGATAGCCTATTAATCGACTTTTAGCTATCGACGGTTTTCGCTTCTTTACTGTTTTGTTAGTAGCTGACCTCCTGTATGCTGACCTCCCCATATCCTTATGAATTATAATTATAATAATTATTATTATTTATTATTATTTTTAAAGGAATAAGCACAACACAATGAATAGCGAAAATTTAGCCGGTACTGGGAGCAAATGCGCGCGCGACTAAGCCAGTCCTTACTGAGTGGCAGCCTCAACCACGACCGGACGATAAAGTGTTAACAATAGATTCTGGCACTTTATGCAAAATAAGAAATTTTCGAAGTCGATTGTAGGAGACAGAGGAATCAAAGGAAACTGTTCTACATTAATTGTAAGAGGCAGAAATCAAATAAACATTTTCTAAGTCAATTGTAAGAGAGAGAAATCAAAGAAAAATATTCTACATTAATTGTAAATGACAGAAATCAAATAAACATTGTACAAATTAATTTTAAGAGACAGAAATCAAATAAAAGTTAATTTTTAACCCCTCGCGTTAGAGCAACGAGATCTCGTGCAGGATTGACTAAATATGAATGTTATTCTTCCGTTATGAATATGTTGGAATGAAAGAAAATGTGGATAAAATGTGAAACAGGAATTGTCTCATGCCAAAGGAAATTATTAAGTATGAGGCAGTGCTAATCAACCTGGTTGTGAAAGAAATCGTAGCGCAAGGGGTTGACACTACGTTTGTCGTGCTTCAAATGCGACCAATGTACATATTGTTAACGAAGTAACATTCACACTTAATAGGTTATTACTAAAAACTTCCATCACGAGTCGAACTCGTCAAACAACGGCGAGGGGGTTCGTTAAGACTTTGATACATAGTCGAACTCTTCGAGGAAAATATCCTCAGTACTTTAAAAGATCCTCGACCGCCAAGGATTCATTCGCATCGAACGTATATCATTTTCCACATGATATTATACTTTAGGTATGAACATCTTGTGTTCGTCCTTCTAAGTATTTTCTCCCTTTTACTTCAAAATTTGCTATGACATTATTAACTATTAGTGTAAAAGATAATGTCTCGCGTAGCCTGTCTCGTCGTAGGACCACGGAGGGTTAACACTTCGGGGCAGCTATGAACATTGTCGAGATCAGCGCCTTTGCCCTTATTGGACGCGAGACGTTAACCCATTGTGGTCCGAAGTGTTTTCTCTCTTTTACTACTGAATTTACTATAATATTATGTTGTCCGATCATGGCACCCTAAGTGATTTTATAACCTGTTTAGCACATCTGAGAAATGGTGCAATAGTTCTTACATACCACGTAATTGTGCCATTACTCCAAAATATAACGCGAACGGGGGGAACTGTTAGTGTAGAAGTCACTGCCCTGTTTCGATCTACGTGAAACTGCAAAAAAATTAATATCTCGCGCAGAGAGTATTAAAGAAGTGTGAATATCACGATTATATACTAAATCGATTCTACACTTCAAATTAGTAGAAAACGATGCAAAGAAAGGCGCCGTAAAATTTGTCTTCCCTGATCTTTTCAAGGTTGAAAAGTCGGATATTTGTCCTGACCGTATCGCTTTCTATTCAAAGCTAATGCTCAAAGAAACCATGGGTTGCAATGGGGACCTATGGTTGGTCCTTCAGGTAAGGAAAAGCGATACCTAAATTGGAAACTTTACGACTTTGAGGAAAACCAGTCGAAATGAATTTTGCGGTATCTTTCTTACATTATTTTCCACTGAATCGAGGGTACGAAATCGATCTAACATATACCATGCAAATTAAAAATACACATGCGTTAGAAAACCTTGATAAGTTTGCTTCGAATGTGTTCTTGTTTCACAAATATTACGAATTTATATTTTGTAGATAGTAAGCCGTAAGGTATTGATCTTTCTGCAAAGTAGAAAAGGGAACTTCAGCTATACATACACAATTTACCCAAATTCAAAATATTTACGAACGGGGCACCATTTCAAAAGTAATGCAAACACGCGAAAGGTTCCTTTGTGCGGCTCCAGATAAGGAAAATCATGAATTAAACTTTCAGAATTCGTCAGTCATGGTCTTAGTTGTCATTGTTAATACTAAGCTGCGGACTTTTATGCGAAATACAAATTTTCTTCGTCAATTGCAAGGGATGGAAACCAAGAAGCAATAATTTAATAAATTAAAGATAATACATTGACGTTTCAAATTCCTTTCAATCTATACACTATTTTAAATTTTGCTATAAATGCATGAAATCCGCAGTCTAGTTATTACCTATTAAATCTATTACCTATTAAATCTATTACCTATTGAATCTACTAAGTTTACTGAGTGTATGGCTACAAAGTGTTAGGCTCGAACACAGCCCAAAGTATACCTTTCCTATTGTTACAATAATATTTGTTTTCCAAAGACAAGATATAAGTCACACAGGTGGTAAAAATAATTACGTTACTTCTTCCTGTATGTCAAATAAAATTCATGCGAATGCAGTGGACAGCTATGATGACCGACGGCAGATATCGGAATACTTCCAAAAAAGAGGTCTGTAATCAGTACAACGAAGTTTGCTTTTAATCCTTCTAGGAATACAAATTTCTTCTATATGTTTCAGCTAAGCAGCTGGGTTAGAAGAGCTTATGGTTTTTGGCGGGATTTGCTCGTTCAAGACAGAGGATGTGCGAAACGATCGACGATCGATAATACGTTCTTCCACAGTTTTCAAATCCCGAACTCTGATCACTGGTGTGCACGGTTCATTAGGCCGATTAGGTTTAGGAACAGTCGATTGTATGGGGTACGGTGGCTGGCAGTGGATAGGGGTGTAAGCGCGTCCGAGGGGCGCATCTAATGCGCTTGAAGCGGATGTTGTGCGATTTAGAGTATTTAAACATATTGGACGAGAATTATAGCATTTAATTGTCCTGTTCGAAAAGTACTTATCCGTGCGATATGACAGTGGTTGCTCGAGCTTCTAGAATAACGCAGACGTCAGAAGCGACGATAGGACTGGAAGTGTTTTTTTACAACTTACAACGTGAATTTTAAATATTAAAAGACCGCCGAGTGGTCTGTTGTATCTTTTGATAAGGAAATACGGCCTAGATTTGACGTATCTCGTGAATATTTGGTGGCGTAAAAATGGCGCGGCAATAATGGCGTGGAGAGTAATGGCGCGCGTTGTTACCATACCATTAGATTTCAGTCTCTGTGGAGACAGATATTAGTAAAAAAAATTTGGATTTTTACGTCGATCGAGTATTTAGAGACTTTTTTTCGGCGTGTAGTGTAGAACATATGAAATTATTCGTAATATAGCAAGAAAAATTGGAACGAACAATCCGCATTGATGGAAAAGTTTTGCATTATCCATTGCGACACATGGTGTTTAGTATAAATTTTCTCTTGCTGCTGCGGAATTTGTGAAAACTATCTTCTGTAGCTCGGGACACGCGACATTGCGAATGAGCTTTTCTAAATTTCAACGATCAAAATTTCCAGACGTAATTAATGACAATGACATTGTCGTGTTTCTTTCTAAAAATGTAATTTTTAATAGCTACAGTTTCTACTTTATTAAAATACTTAATTTTTAAGAAATAATTCAGCTGCTTACAGATAATAACGAACTAAAATTTGTAACTGCAACACGTTTGACGAAATATTAATTGTTCACAATTGATTCTCATAGTTAATTAAAAACTTCTAAAGATTTAAATCGTAAAATATACTCAAAGTTATTCATTATCTATAATCTTAAATAAATATCTATGATGATGTTTTTTATAATTGAGTACTAGCTTAGGAGAATTTATTAAGAATTTACCATTAGTATAAAATGTAAGAAAAAATTTACAAGTTGAAAAAAAAATTACACTTTCGCATGTCCCTCGGATTTTATTTACTTCGCGCACTGAACTGCTATAAAAAATGATAGACCATGTGACTACTTTTATATATTATTTTTTACTATATTATTATTTACTTAAATGTAAAGTTTTTTAGGTAAAAGACTACCCCCAGAAAATGTTCAAAGTATCTGTGTGCTGGTTCTCATCTGAGTAATGGTTCAATTTTATGGGAAATAAACACTTTCTTATAGAAGTTCATTGAATTGATTTAGAAATACACTACCAACTCATTTAACTGCATTCATTGTTCGTATCTATTTCAATTTGAGAAATATTCGTATATCGAGGATAAGCATTGAAATCACCAGTTATGTAAACATAATTCCGTATTAGAATGACTAATAACATTCAAATGGTTGAATATGCGAAAATCTCGAATAAATCCTATTTAAAAATTTACGTTTTTCATTATCCTTGCTAGTCACTAGATAAATCCACGACAAACGAACCATTAAAAACGATCAAACGTCTACTCAAATCTGCTGGCATGAAGAGTCGAGAAAACGTTTCCAAGGTTCGCGTTAAAGTGACAAATAAATCGTTATTATAAAAATGATAGCTCGATCATTGAAAAAATGTTATTTCGCACGCATAGCCGGGAATATAACAGCGTGCTCGAAGACTATTCACAGAACGCGCGCCAATTTTCTCATTCAAATAGTACGCCACCGATGTTTACGATTTAAGCCGATTGTCTTCCGAGACAATGTGCTGTCTCGAAGCGTCAATAAAACTCGACCCGTCAGTAAAATTCAAATTCCTACCGAATCCTGAAGATCGTTGTGCATGAACGGTATACAACAGCGCGTATCGAGGCAACCTTAGTTCATTGAAGAGCCCGAATTTTTGCGATCTACACGAGAAGCGACCGGGAATCGAAGTTATCGCAAGAACATGACTACGAAAACAGGAATGTCGCGCGTATTTATGTACGCACGTTTGCGGCAAACATCGAGGATCGCCTAAAATTTAACCGGTGAATTTATTCACAGACAGAACCGCAGTTTCGGGTTAGATCAGAACTACGTCGAGAAAGAAAAAAAAAATTGTTCCAGGGTTCGTCCGGCGAGGGTCAAACGGATTCTCAGGCTTCGCGGCGCGGTGGTACGTCACTGTGCGCCTGTCGAAAACTCGTCGCAACTTTGTTGTCAAGCTTGCACGTGCTCGAAAAAACGAACAGTAAAACGCGTACGAATAGCCAGCGAACCGTGTGCACCCTCGATGTTAATCGTCTTTTGTCGTCTTTCCGTGGCGATGGCGAGTAGCGGCAGGATTCGAACGCGGCTGCATGTTAATTACACATGAAATCGCCGCAGGAGGTCACGTTAATGTCTTCTTCGCACTGTCAATGATTCCGTGGATAAACAAATAACAAGCTCGATCTGCCCCGATGGCCAGAAAAACTGGCGATACCGCCGATATACGCGTGCACGTAACGATTCTTCGGCAGCGCTTGGCTTCGTCAACAATTCAAATACGAACCAATCCCGATGACGAGAAAACACATCGACCGCGATTCGTTACCTCGCGTCTCAATTTCGATACGTTATTAGAAGACACATGAATCGGCGTTCCCGCCGTTGATAACGATTTTTGCGGAACGAACAGTCACATTGGTCGTAGCAGTTCACAGGCAGGTTTCATCTAGCGGCAACCAAGAGCACAGTCCATTTTGTCACATGAAACAACCAAGATGAACCGGGGAAAACACACATGGCACTAGGTGGTCCTCAGTCCTTCGTTGGCTGGCAGCTCGTGTTCACTCGATCTGTACGAATTGTCCAGGCACTTGACCACGAACCAGAGATCGGACTATGACACGATGAGACTGGAACTCGATGGAAGGTGACTTACACGTCTGGCCTTACGGGGAAACGCGTGGCTGGAGCGCGGATGGTTCGTTGGCGGGAAAGCTGAACACAGCCGGTGGACCGCGTGGTAGCTGCTGTGTGTAGCGGTGTGTATGTAGGTGAAGAGAAGACGTCGTCGAAGGATAGACAGAGAGGAATGCGCGCTTGCAAGAGAGAGAGAGAGAGAGGATAAGAGAACCGTGGCGCCCCTAAACGATCAGCTGATTCCTCACTGTCACCCATCGTCTTCTCGATAAAAGCACAAACGTGTTCACAGAGGGATCGGATTGGTTCGCGATTCCCCGGGCAGCCGCGTGTGTACTCGTATCACTATATATCTCGATCACTTTGGTACCGGTTTCTCTCGCGGGATGATTAATCGCTCCGTTTGGCGAACACTTGGCGGCACGATGATTTCCGATCGGAGCGGATCGATCCTGGTCGATCGACAAAATTCAGGGGGCCGAGCCAACCGAAAAGGGTAGGAAAAACGAGCAACCGGGAAGCGATGTGAAATCATAAGGATCGAAGTAAAATGTCGGGTGACTCACCGAAATAAAATCAAGAACTTTGAAAGATAAAACTGACCGTATCGTGTGGATTGCGTGTGCAGCACAGCGGCGTCGGCGACGGCCGGTGAGTGAATGCGCCGTGACGTTAGGCGCCCCTCCTAAGATCCCCACCCCTCTCGCTCCTTAAACTTCTCCCTCCCTCTCGACGGTGTCGTCTCTTTTCCTATACGATACACGCCACTCACTTGCTCGCGCACTAACTAACCAACCTCCCTCTCTCTTGCCGGCCTCCTCCCCTTTCTTCCGTCTATCCCTCTCCCCACTGCGCTTCTCCTCTTCGTCACTTTACCGCCCCGCGCGCAGACCTACCACCACCTCTCGCCACCTCTGGCGTGTGTCCTGCCGCTCTAACATTCGCGGACCGCCAACTACCCCTTTCCTTCCTTTCTACTTCAAGGGAAACCTACTGTTCCACGAGAGACGCGTTCCTTCTTGTTGCCCTAACTCGCGTTTCCTACCCCCGGCCGGTTTCTCCGTGCCCCACCCCCGCCCGGCACGAATCCACGCGCTTATCCGCGGACCCGATGTAACCGATAAGAAAAATACGACATGCACACACCCGAGGGCCGCGTAGCGGTGAATTTGCCCGAAATCGTGGACATCGGTCAACAATATTTTGTTCATACTTTGAAATTCTATACAGCGGATCGTATTTATTATGCGAGCAGAGCATGATTTTTGGTTAAAACTAATTTTTCATATGCAGCCGTCTCGAAGTTGTACTAAAAGGAACTGTTCATTTGAAAAGACGGAACTTTTCAATGCTGATTCGTAATATCTTTCTAACGACACAGAATAATCTTGATCCACGTGCCCTAAATTAATAACATATTACTTGCTTAAATTAATAACATATTCTAGGGCCACGGGAGATGTGAACGAAAGATCTATACACATTTTACCTTTAGTCAATGAAATAATTGTTTGTCAAGCGAGATCGAGTGGTCATATAATTTTTAAACATATCTTGGTAATTACCTGATTTACCTGCGGTATATTGTGGTCTTCCGAGTTATTGGACAGAACGAAGACCGTCATAAACCGATGAATTTATTGTGTCATATACTTAACCAAATGTTTAGATAATTATACCGATAGATCAAAAAGATTAAAAATATTCGGTTTGTCTATATCGTACGAATTTTTGACCGAAATTACTTGTAAACCTTTTATTATATGAAAAAAAGTTTCGAACAGAAGCTTCACCGTGTCAAGAAAAGTATATAACATAATTATTAGTTCTTTTCGTGATTGTGCTTTTCTATCAAGATATGGAGGATATCTTGAATTTTTTCATAATAATATGTTACATTCGACGTCATAATTCGAAAAGTTACTGAAGGCCGATTTAAAAAGTATTAAGGTGTATGGTGACAAAAACCAATAAACACCGAGTTATTAGCATTGTCTACGATTTCGAACAAATTCACTACTATGGATCGCAGGAGCAAATTCACTACTATGGCAGGAGGAGCGGGGAATTCCACGTGTGGATTCTCCTGATATCGTAGCCCGTTTATCCTTATTTTTTCGGATTTCGTTTCGCTCCGATTCGACCGCACACGAACGCGCGCTTTTCTTCAACGATCGCGACCGGAAGTATCCGATCAAATCGATGTGTTTCTCTGCACCGGTTTCGTTTATCGTCGTTCGTTTTCCTCCGGCGATGATTTCGCGAAGCCGAAGATCGCGTTCCGGAAAAATAATTTGAACGGTGGAAGAAGCGTTTGCCTCGAAGCTCGGTCGAACTTCATCGGTCGATCGCTGACCGGTTAAGATAAATACGAAGAGAGAGTTGGTAAGATTTCGAGGAAGATGAGGAGTCAAGGCCGCCGACGGAGGTGGCACCGAGAGGGTGAATTCCAAGTTCAGGATCGTTCGAAGGATCTCGAATCGCAACGGGACACCATAGGAAAGTAGGAACTGTAGATAGTTTCCCTCCTCCGCTTACACCTACGCGCGCTTCCACCCTTATGCTTCCGGTGCTCGTGTGCGTTTATGCAGTCACCCCGAATACACTCGCGTCTTCTAGACTTCGCGACGCGATAAACTGCGAGCCCGGCCCGAAAGTCTCCAACCGTCCTCCCCCGTGAGCAGGACTTACATGAGTATTAAGTATCACCTGTCCGTAATTAGGTGCTAGGATTAATATACTCGCGATTGCCATGCAAGTAATTCTTATGCGAAAACCCAAAGCTGCTGACTGTTGTACGCTCGATCGGCCAATAGGGAGCTTGTTGCATCGAAATGACCACCATCCTCTTTTATCCTGATTAAAATAATTATTCTTTCTCGATCACTACCCAAAACTGACACTCTTTGGAGAATATTGCTAAAAACTCTAACGATTAGATTGACGGTCTTTAACCCCTTGCGGTATGACAAAGTGCTAAATTGTGGATGTTGTTATAAAATATATCCTGGTTATAAAACCAGGATACCTGGGCATCCCTATGATGCCCTACACACGATGTCCTACACTACGTTGCTGTTTTACATATGTTTTATACAATATTATGTAAATATTCGTTTTTACTTATTTTATATTTATTACAGCAATAAAATATTATTTTCGATTAATTGTCTGGTGAATTTTTACTTCTTCTTACACTCCCTATCCTCTTCTCCTATAAGGCCACCCGGGGGCTCCGGTTATTTAACAAAGGTATGTCAAACTTTATCGTCCAATTTTAGTATTTTAATGATAAGAAAATTATCCACTCAAAATAGATATCGGTAGGAATTGTGCTAAATAACGACGATCTAGCAGGATATTGAAATATTCCACCAGGAACAAAGAGTATTTTGAAGTGAATGCGCAAAAGGGTACCCGGCTATCGACACAAGGATTAAATTGATATAAAATGTCACCCTTTTATTATCAATATTTAAGCACTGAAGCAAAAGTTGGCAAGCAATCGATATAATAAATATTTTTTCTCGCCTAGGAATTTATTAATGACAAGCGTCAATCATTATAACCGTGAAAGAAATAACAGTGCACTGGGTTAACACTGAATCTACCGAGCATTAAAGATGTCCGACATGTGTTGTTTTATGAGAACTACAAGTTTGAATTTATTCAGACATTTTGCTGTTTTTATTCTAACGTGTGTGCTTGAATTAAAGAATTTCGGTAATCATTCCCTACTAAAGACTCTTTATAATTTCAGCAATTTTAAAATGTAAGATGTGGTTCAAGTCATTTTGACCGGCATGATAGGTTCAACGATGAAAATTTGCTGCACGAGTTGCGAGAAACAGGAGCCAAATAGATGCTCTTTCTAGATTTAATAATTTTAGTGAATTAATATTCGCCTACTCTAATAAAATCCGTCGATTACTAATTGTTATAATCTAAAAACAGTAGCCACGGTCTGCACGAACGACATAGTTATGCCATCAAGGTCCGACACCACTTCTAATCGTTCTCATGTGCATACATTGTTACCTTGACGATAATCGTCGAAGACAGGCGATATCAGCGTAAGGTTGAAATAATGTTGATCGGGTCGATTGTGGCTACTGACTTTAGAGTAATCTAACGAGAGAATCATCTTGTATCAATGTTTCCTACTCTTCGTCTTTTAAATGTTTCTTTTTTATTTATTAATACCTTAAGCCAGATGATTTATTTAGCAAATACACGATTGCTACGTGTACATGTGTTCGATATTACTTATTATTTGAATGTTTTCATTATCACTACGTGTTGTTATCAGTGTCAAGTTATATAGAACATTTTACTTTTAATTTTTGATATTATTAGTAAGATAATATTATTACTAGACTGCGGATCTATATGCAATTGTGGCAAAATTGGGTAGTTACAATTTAAAATAGGGTAAACATTAAATGCATTTTAGAAGGTCAGTGCATTATTTTTAGCCTATTAAGATGATTAAAGGACGAATGAAATTGCTATTTGGCATCTGTTCCTTGTAATTGATGCAGACATTTTTTATTTTACATAAAAATCCGCGGTCTAGTTATCGCTAACGGAAGACATTTGTTTTAAGATGTTTATTATAAATTTGAATTCTGATAGATTTTGAATTGAAATTTAATTACAAATTTGAAATTATAATAAATTTTT